TGTCTTGTTCACTGCTGTATCCCTAGTGCTTAGCACCTATAAGATGCTCAGTAAGTACCTGTGGAGTGAATGAATGTCTGACCTGTGCATTCTTTCTTTCTAGATGATGGGCATATTTGTTTTTATTCTCTTTCTTTCTTTCTTTCTTTCTTTCTTTCTTTCTTTCTTTCTTTCTTTCTTTCTTTCTTTCTTCTTCTTTCTCCTTCTTTTTCTTTTCTTATGTACTGGGTGAAATGTTTTAGGATGTTTACCTCAGCATCTACCTCTAGTGTTTTGGTTGGAGCCTCCCTCAACAGTGAAGAAAGGGTGATACTTGCTAACAGTCCATTACCAGTATGAACCTAGAGCCATAGGCCATTAAATTTGTAGCCTACAGAGAGTTATTCCATGGCTTTTTTATTCCCTGGTTTATTGAGATATAATTGATATATTATGGAGATTATAATTGATATATAACATTGGCATATCACTTTAAGGTATACAGTGTGATGATTTGATACACATGAAATGATTACCATGCTAAGGTTAGTTAACACATTCATCATCACCTCACATAAGCATATTCATGTTGTTGCAAATGGCAGGATTTCCTTCTTTTTTGTGGCTGAATAATATTCCATTATATGTGTGTACCACATTTTCTTTATCCATTCATTCATTGATAGACACCTACGTTGTTGCCAAATCTTGGCTATTGTGAATAATGCTGCAGTGAACATCGGGCTGCAGATATCTCTTCAAGACAGTGATTTCGTTTCCTTTGGATATATACACAGAAGTGGGACTGCTGGATCATATCATAGTTTTATTTTTAATATTTTGAGGAACCTCTATACTGTTTTCTGTAGTGGCTGTACCAATTTACATTCCCAGCAGTGCACAGAGGTTCCCTTTTCTGCATATCCTTGCCACTGCTTCTTTTTACAGATTGGCAGATTGAAGCCCAGGGAAGGAAAGAAAACTAAAGGTTATAGTATGAGTGTATAAGAATTGGGATTAAAGCCCAAGATGTTTTGTTTTTAGATTTTTTCCAGTTTTATTGAAAAATAATTGACATACATCAGTGTATAAGGTGCATAGCGTGATGGTTTTATTTACATATATTGTGAATTAATTACTTCAATAGTTTTTTTTCCCAAAGATTTTATTTATTTATTTGACAGAGAGAGACACAGAGGGAACACAAGCAGGGGGAGTGGGATAGGGAGAAGCAGGCTTCCCGCCGAGCAGGGAGCCCGATGTGAGGCTTGATCCCGGTATCCCGGGATCATGACCTGAGCCCAAGGCAGACGCTTAATGACTGAGCCATCCAGGTGCCCCCTCAAGAGGTTTTGTTAACATCCATCATCTCATAAAGATACAATATTAAGACTTTTGATAGATTAACTATTAACTCTTTGGAAATTAGAGTGAATTTCTATTAAATTAATTGTCTGATACTAGAGTTGGCATGTATTGTGTTGTGTTCAGGAAGACAATAAGTGAATAGCTAAATATAACTAGCATTTCTTGCATAGTAGACATTGGAAGAGTTTGGCTTTAGGTTTTAAAATCTTGGGGCACCTGGGTGGCTCAGTCGGTTAAGCGTCTACCTTTGGCTCAGGTCATGGTCCCAGGGTCCTGGGATTGAACCCCACAGTGGGCTCCCTGCTCAGTCTGCTGCTCCCTCTCCCTCTGTGCACTGCCCCCTCACCCCCGCTTGTGCTCTTTCTCTCTCTTAAATAAATGAAATCTTTAAAAAAATAAAAATAAAATCTTGATATTTGGTTGTTTTATCCTGAAGGGATGTGATGTGCACTTAAGATGTTTGTGGCTGGATTGCCTAAAGATATTCTTAAAAAGTTGTATGACTTGAGTCTTTCAGAGAGAAGTTGTGCTGCGGGTCATGGGACCAGCAGTCCCTGAGGTTTAGGAATAAAAGACTTCATTGATTTACCATGGGGTTGGGGGGATTTGAAACCATTCCTAAGTTTGATGGTAGGTGAAATTAGTATTGATATGTTGCCTGATTCTCTTTTATACTTTGCCTGTCATATCTTATTTCTGAGAAACTGTGTTAAAGTCTAAGATGACATTTCTGTGGGATTACTGTGGCTTTGCTGTATTTGCTTCTTCGCCAGCAGGATTTAAAATCCCGGATCAACAGAGGTCATAGTGTAGTCAGAGAATGCTTCTTTCCCTTTCTCATGGTATCACAGCATTTTCTTTGTACTTTTACTGTTTCTCATGATTTGCCTTGTGCTGTGGGGTTATTATGCATCTGTCTCTGCCAATAGATCGTGAGCTTCTAGAGGATCGGGTCTGTCGTTTCCTCTTTGTAACCCCATAGTGCCTAAACTAGTGCTTTACAATATTTAGGTGTTTCTTATGTACTTGTGGTATTTCAGTGATGCTGAGAGGATCATTCAGTGATATGTCTAGTTCAGTCTCCTTGTTTTATGTGTAAGGAAACTAGGAACACAGTGACTTACTCAGTGTCATATAGGTGGTTAGGACACCTGTATTCTAGTCTCAGTTCTGCTGGTTGGTTGTTCCATTATGCCTTGTTGCTCCTCAGCTGCTTCTGGTTTTCTACAAAGAGGAGGGTTGTGAAAGAGAAGAAAAACACTGGGAGGACATAAATTACACTCCCATTACTGATGTGCTCTACCAGTCAGATATTTTACTTTCAAAGTTAAGAGCAGAGGCTTAATTTCTGAAATCCCCCAAAAAACTTTTAGGGGTTCTGCACTGCTCTTAGTCCATCACCCTCAGAACACCTTTTCTGTGTTCTGTGGGTAGAAGTGCTGGCAGGAGGAGGAGACTATGTTAGTGTCCAGTCACATTTCAGACAAGCGTGGGTGGTAAATTCCAGTTGCCTCTGATAATGACAGAGACTAATGAAATGAGGCTCCGAATGGAGGGAGAGTTATGAAAATAATTTAACTTCTTAGGGAACTTGGTACTTTGGATTAGAATTGTTTTTTCCCTCCTCTCCTGTTCCCTTTTGCTTATTAGAAAGTACTGATTCTGAAATAGGGAAAGTGAGTTTATTAGATTTAGGGTGGACATTGATTGCTGTAACCCAATTATAAATCCTCAGAGGGGCCTGTTTGTAAACAGGTGCTTTTCACATCCAGGAACTCGTGATTCCTGCTATTCCCGATAATCAACTGGTTGAAGCTGAACACATGAAAGATCTATATCCACTAAGCTTAGAATTGCATTGCTTTTGATTTATTTTAATGGGATCCTGTTGATTTCCAATTTATTTTCCCCCGATAAGGACATCTTCCTCTTGACAACCTATTTAAAAGACACAGGAATGTTTTGAACAGAGGCTGTATTTCATGCTTTAAGGCAAAGCCATGATCAATATAGTATAAATTGCCCAAAAGCATCTTCTCTCTCTTTTTGTTGTTGTTATTTTTTCCTTCAGTTTTCTCTGGACCATAATGGAATTTGAGGACTTAGTGAGGCTTTGACAGAGATAGGTCTTAATAAAATTTTAGGTCACATCTAGGACTTTTTAGGCTTCCCTCCATTTCAGAATCAGTCAGTGATGAGCATACACTGAGCATATACCCTGAGCCAAGTGCTTATAGAAAAAGGATAAGATGTAGTCCCTGTGCTAAAGATGCTTCATATCTAGTTGGAGAAATTTTCTGTGCTTTGTGTTTTTTTATGCTCAAAGGTAAATCTCCTTTTTAGCTATATATATTAAAGAAAAACAATCTCTGAGATATATTCTTTTATGCTATTGGATGCGTCTCTTCCTCAAATAAAATTTTGATTTTGATTTGAAAGATAGCACATATTTTCTAAAAGTCATTGAACAGGGGCACCTGGGTGGCTCAGGCGTTAAGCGTCTGCCTTCGGCTCAGGTCATGATCCAGGGTTCTGGGATCAAGCCCCGTATCGGGCTCCCTGCTCTGCAGGAAGCCTGATTCTCCCGCTCCCCCTGCTTGTGTTCCTGTTCTCGCTGTCTCTCTCTCTCTGTCGAATAAATAAATAAATCTTTAAAAAAAAATGAAAGTCATTGAACAAAATTAATTTTATTCTGCTGCTTTGGATTTGTTTGGAAGTAAAATCAGGCTCCTTGCTACTGCCCATACTTCCCATTGGGTGAGATTAAGTTTCACAACTAGAGCCTAGAATTTAAGAGAGAGACAGGAATTTTGTCAACAGTAGAAAGAATCTGGGAAGTGAGGGGAAATGTGTAAATCCACAGTGGAGACCTGTGGGATTTTAAGTTCTCAGTTGTAAAAAATTGAAATTCCTTGAAACAAGATGGGAAATTTGGGCATGATTCATGGAATTGCTTTTATATAGAATTGAAAAATACACTGAGGTTTTAATCTGCAGTAGTGTTATAAATATATATATAATTAGATTTGAAAGAAGTATATTGTTATATCAGTTATTTTGAAATCAGATTTAATTTTTGTTCTTATAACTGCTATTTTCTGCCTTGGGTCTCTTTTCAGAGGAATTTCTGAAGACAGTCAAGTGCAGTGTGATTTATGAGGCAGTGAAGGCCAAGTACTTTGCAGTGATGAGGACCTACTTACTTTGGGGAAATCAATGGAGCACATCAGTCTGCAGCACACTTCCTGCCTTAATGGTCCTAAGCTCAATCAATACTTGAAATTTAACTTCACCATCAGTCTGTGGGCAGTGTGTGCTTTGCAGCCTTCCTTCCATCGACCTCAAATATATGGCCAGATCTATTATAGATGGAGCTAGTTACACTTTCCTTCTTGGTTTTGGATCTGCTATAAGCCTTGTCTACTGGCATGTTTTAAAGATGTAAATTGTGTTTTGCTGTAGGCCAAGTAATGATTTAAGTCTTGAAATTACCTGGTCAGGGGATGGGGTGTTGGACAGATGCACAAGATCTATTATGTGGCTGTTTATCATTTTTTCTTCTTCCTAAAAAATTTCCCTTTGAAAGCTTTTCAACAGACTACCCAGCATCTTGGAGAGCATTTATAGCACTGACTGTGGCTTTCTTTTCACAGATTCTCTAACGATGGCACAGGTGGAGAAACGAGGGGGTTTGCTCCGGAAATCTTCAGCCTCCAAAAAACCACTGAAGGAAAAGGTGGTGCTGATGTATGATGAGATCTTTATGGTAAGGCCCGGAGCTCTGACAGTTCTGTGCAGCTTGACTCCTTAGTTTCTTGTTCCAAAATGAGAAATAAGCTCACCCCTGCCTGCTGCCTTTTAGTTCTTCAGAGGGAGAAAGGGAGAGCAAGGGTGAGAGTGTGAGCTCTCTCATGGTAGAAATTATGATCATGTATTAATTAATATAGGTTGCTGTTATGTTGTTCTTATAGGTTATTGCCATGAGCTCAGTAAAACAATTGAAAGAGGGAGTAAAGCTCGGGAAGCTTTTTTTTTTTTTTTTTAGTATCTTTAAGAAAGACTTGTCTTCCATATGATCCAATGTAAGTACTCTTCTATCCTAGATGTCCCTTGAAATTCCTTTTGGCCCTAGAATTCTATGATTCAATTATTTTTAAAAGATGAGCTATTGGGGTGCCTGAATGGCTCAGTTGGTTAAGCGTCTGCCTTCGGCTCAGGTCATGATCCCGGAGTCCTGGGATCGATCCCCACGTCCAGCTCCCTGCTCAGTGGGGAGTCTGTTTCTCCCTCTGCCCTTCACCCTGCTCATGCTCTCTCTCACTCTCTCTTTCTCTCTCAAATAAATAAATAAAATCTTAAAAAAAAAAAAAGATGAACTGTTACATCTCAAGTTGTTAGTGGACGGAACAATTGCTTAGTCTATCACATTCTCCAACTATATAAGATCACTGACAAATTATTAGCGATTGGATTGAGGATTTCTTTGGGTCTTCATAACTGCTGATTGACCACAGTCCAGGCCTTTGTTTTGAAATCTACTCTGTCAGGGAGGGTTACCCTGCAGGGTACTTGCCTTCTGAAATTCTGATTGTAAGTAGTGCATGTAAAATGGAATAATACTTATAAAAAGAGTTACCATTGTATTGAATTTCTTTTTTTTTTTTTTAAGATTTTATTTATTTATATGACACAGAGAGACAGTGAGAGAGGGAACACAAGCAGGGGGAGTGGGAGAGGGAGAAGCAGGCTTCCTGTTGAGCAGGGAGCCTGATGTGGGGCTCGATCCCAGGACCCCGGGATCATGACCTGAGCTGAAGGCAGACGCTTAATGACTGAACCACCCAGGTGCCCCACCATGTATTGAATTTCTACCATGTGCCTGGCGTCTAAGTGCATCACTAAGTACATTAACTCTAATTCTGACAAGAATGCTCCAAGAGTGCCATGTTTTCACATGTGTCATGTAAAAGCATTTTTCAGATGAGGAAACTGGGGATCATAGCTGGAAGGTGATGGAGCCATGGTTTGAACCCTAACGTTTGACTCCATGGCCCTTACTTGTTCAACTTTGCCACATGGCCCAGAATAAATAATGCGATCAAGTAAAACCTTTAACTCTGGGCAAGCCTTAGAGATAGAGTTTGATATGCAAAAAATTAATACAGAATTGCACAGGTCAGTACAGGTGGTTATACAGAGAAAATGAGTGGGTACTTGGATCCTATTAGGGTTCTTTCTATGTTAAGTAAGGTTGGCATACATAGGACTGTTGATTGAACTTTGAGGATGGGAAGTGCCAACTCCACGAGTAGTCTTGAGTTTCATATATAGGTAACAAAATGACATTACAGAAGTGTGAGAGTCAAGGGGAGCCTGGGTGGCGCAGTTGGTTAAGCGTCTGACTCTTGGTTTCGGCCTAGGTTGTGATCTTGGGGCTGTGAGATAGAGGCCCACGTTGGCTCAGCCCGGAGTCTGCTTAAGACTCTCCATCTCCCTCTGTCTCTCCCTGCTGTGCTGTCTCTCAAATTAATAAATTAATTAAAAAAAAAAGAGAAGTGTGAGAGTCAGAGTGTGAGTGTGACCCCTCCTAGGAGAAAGGGGTAGAAAAAAAATCACTGAAGGAGCACCTTAGGAGGAGGCCAGAAATGTAACTTCTCTGTGTCATTCTCAGTTAAAAATCCAGAAGAGATTCCTAGTATAGTATTTTCTTATTAGATCAGGAGTTCTTAACTAATGAAGATATTAGTTCTTGGTAGTACTTTTATTTATTTATTTATTTTGGTAGTAATTTTAAAAGGTCAACTTAAGGGTGATAGTGGGTGATTGATCCACTGGTTTTATGTCATTAGCTTTCCTTAAAGTAGAAGTTCTTTTTTTCTCATTTTGCTCCTTAACCAGAAGCCTTTGACTCTTTTGAATTAATGTTTGAAAATTATTGCTAAGAAGATTTAGGTTTTAGCACTATAATTTTGTTAACCTTTTGGACCAATTTGAAGTAAGGAAGGAGCATATTAAAAGCTCTGTACAGAGAATTAAATGCATACAGGAGGGCAAGTAGTAAGAGCAGTCAACACAGGATGTTGTAAAACCATGGCAGTATTGCTTATGTGGTCTGGGTTCTGGCTCTTGTACCAGTGTAAGTAACTTGGTGGATCCTCTTTCCTAAAAGGAGGATACTTTTATTTTTTTTAAGATTTTATTTATTTTTTTGAGAGAGGGGGCAGAGAAGGAGAGAGAGTACAAGTTGGGAGAGGGACAGAAGGACAAGCAGGCTCCCTGCTGAGGAAGGAGCCTGACTTGGGGCTCAGTCCCCGGACCCTGGGATCATGACCTGAGCTGAAGGCAGACACTTAACTGACTGAGCTACCCAGGTGCCCCAGCTAAAAGGAGGATACTGATAACATCTACCATACCTGGCTCTCTGGGCCATTGTATTTCATGTATGTGAAAGGGCTTTGAAGACCTACAGATGTGATGGGGACATATAATGTGACTATCTTACTCAGATGGTTAGGTTCACGTCTTGCTAGAAGAGAAAGATTTGAGGGAGATTCTTTGAGCCATTATTTAACTTTTGGCACAGGGAATATATATCTATGCACAGTGTCTTCCATTTTGGGGGAAAAAAGCCTCTAAAACTATTGTTCCGTGTTATAACAGTATAGAACGACCAAGCATTTTCAGAGTTAATTTTGAAAGGTAACATTGATTATGTGTAAGTGACCCTTTCAGATGTGTTCTTTCTTTTTTAAGATTTTTCTTTTTTTTTTAAAGATTTTATTTATTTATTTGACAGAGAGAGAGATAGCGAGAGCAGGAACACAAGCAGGGGGAGTGGGAGAGCGAGAAGCAGGCTTCCTGCCGAGCAGGGAGCCCGATGTGGGACTCGATCCCAGGACCCTGGGATCATGACCTGAGCCGAAGGCAGACGCTTAACGACTGAGCCACCCAGGCGCCCAAGATTTATTTATTTTAGGGGGGAAGGAATTATGTGTGCGTGTGAGCTGGGGAAGGGGCAGAGGGAGAGGGAGAGAATCCTAAGCAAACTCCCCACCCAGTGCAGAACCCGAGGTTGGGCTCGATCCTACCACCTTGAGATCATGACCTAAGCTGAAACCGAGAGTTGGACACTCAACTGACCGAGCCACCCAGGGGCCCCCTTTCAGATGTATTCTTAATGCTTCAGTGTTAGCTGGGGATATTGAACCTGCTTATTTTCTGGTTTCAGACAGAGGACCCCAGTAAGTGCAGTCCTCGATTTTGGGAGGAGCTCTTCCTTATGAAGGTAAACTTGATGATATCTCTGGATTTTCCTGGTAACTGAAATTGCTTTCTCATGTTCTAGGTGCTACACTAAAAATGCACTCACATTAAATACAATTCACTAAAAATGTTACTAAAAATAATACCCTTACTCTTTCCTTGGTAGGTGAATTTGGAGTACCTAGAAGGCAAGCTGGAATCTCTTGATGGTGAGGAGTTAATGAAGATCAAGGATAATATTAATTGCTTATTTCAACACTGCATCCAGGCTCTGGGAGAGGAACATCCAATTCGAGTTGTCAATGCTTTGCAGGTACAAGGTTGGGAGACCGGGGAAGTCTTGTTTAACAGGGGAAAGGAATTGTAACACATGTGTTGGGACCTGAGGAACCTAAAATTGCCCTTAGGTATGAAGGGTTTTGTTTTTTTTTCCTTTAAATCATAAACATCTATGTATGTTTGTTTAGCCATCTTTCTGGTTAAAGAAATTGACACTTGGGCGCCTGGGTGGCTCAGTCATTAAGCGTCTGCCTTCAGCTCAGGTCATGATCCCAGGGTCCTGGGATCAAGCCCTGCATCGGGCTCCCTGCTCAGCGGAGAGCCTGCTTCTCCCTCTCCCACTCCGCCTGCTTGTGTTCCCTTTCTAGCTGTGTCTCTCTCTGTCAAATAAATAAATAAAATCTTTAAAAAGAAAAAAAAGAAAAAAGAAATTGACACTTCACTAGTACTCTTGTCCACTTGTATAATTTGATCTAATACCAAAGCAGATTGACAGAATGCTTGAATTATTTGAGGAAAGGAAGAGATATTGGGGAAGCTATGAGTCAGGGATAGTTAGTCTACAGCAAAAATCAGAAGAGATTCTTAACACAATATTTTCTCACTAGATCAGGAGTTCTTAATCTGAGGTTTCAGAGGGTCCTTCACTCCCGGAAGTTATATGTAATATTTTATGTGCATGTGTACATTTTTTCTGTAAAGAGAGCTTTCATCAGATTCTCAAAAGGGTCTGTAACTTAGAAAACATTAAGAATCATTGTTCTTTACGCTAAGTGGCATGATCACTGAGTAATTACTTCTTTTCTTCTTTTTTAAGATTTTTTTTTTTTTTTAATTTCTTTATTTGACAGAGAGATAGCACAGGTAGGCAGAGTGGCAGGCAGAGGGAAAGGGAGAAGCAGGCTCTCTGCTGAGCAGGGAGCCTGATGCGGGGCTCTATCCCAGGACCCTGGGATCATGACCTGAGCCGAAGGCAGCCGCTTAACCGACTGAGCCACCCAGGCGCCCCTGAATAATTATTTCTTGAATGACTTTTATGTGCCAACATTGGGTTCAAGGGGATACATTATAGGCTTTTTTTTTTTTTTTAAGTATTTATTTGACAGAGAGAGACACAGCGAGAGAGGTAACAAAGCAGGGGGAGTGGGAGAGGGAGAAGCAGGCTTCCCGCCGAGCAGGGAGCCCGATGTGGGACTCGATCCCAGGACCCTAGGATCATGACCTGAGCCGAAGGCAGACGCCTAACAACTGAGCCACCTAGGCGCCCCACATTATAGTCTTCTTGAGAGCAAAGACTTTGATAGTTTCATTCAGTACTTTGTTCCTAGCATGTAGGACAGTGCCTGGTAAATACTCAGTACTTTAGAAGTAAATTTTTATTGAGTGAATGATGGGCAAAATTTCTAAAGTTTATAGTACAGTAGCTCCCGTGTAGCCTAGATCAGGCTGAATGGCTATAGGGCAGTGATTGACAAACAGAATATGAAGAATCCATGACAACATAAAATATTTTATTGGAACTTTTGATAGATTGGGTTTAAATTTCTAACTTACTAGTTGGATAAATCACTTTACCAGTTTTCTCATCTGTAGATTGTAGAAATTACCTATTGAGCTGATGTCCCAGAAAGAAGGACCATGCATTTTGGGCATCGCAATTGTAGGGGCTCACTGAAAGCTGAAATGAAAGTTGGAAATTATGCTTCCTGTAATTGCAGTGACTCACTGTGGGGGCATGAATGGTAAACTGTTTTTGGTTCAGTGGAAATAAATTGGCATTAAGTCACTTAGTGACCCATAAAAATATAGTACGTTATTATAATGGCTTACATTATTATAATGAGACTTGCTAAGCTTTAACAGTGTTTCAGGCACTATTCTTGGAGCATTAACAAAGTTCCAGGGACTATTCCAAGCGCTTTACGGTGTTAATTCACATAGTTCTCACAACATCCCTATGAGATGGGTGCTATTATTGTCATTCCCATTTTATAGATGAAAAAACTGAGGCACTGAAAAGTTAACCTAATTTGTCTGGGTTTACACAGCTAGTCAGTAGTGGATGGAGATTGTAAAGAATTTAAGTTTTCAAGCAATTGGTTGTTATCATATGGACTGAAATAACTTGTAGTTATTAAAAATACTAAAAATTATCAATTATAATGTAAATACTAGAATTAATTTTAAATAAAGGAAAGTTTCACCAATCACATGACTCAAACTCAAGAACTTTTTTTATTTTTTTATTTTTTAAAGATTTTATTTATTTATTTGACAGAGACAGAGACAGCGAGAGCAGGAACACAAGCAGGGGGAGTGGGAGAGGGAGAAGCAGGCTTCCCGCCGAGCCGGGAGCCCAATGTGGGACTCGATATCCCAGGACCCCAGGATCATGACCTGAGCCGAAGGCAGTTGCTTAACCAACTGAGCCACCCAGGCGCCCAAGAACTGTTTTTATTTTTGAGTTCACCTTCCAGTCTTTGCATGCAGTGCAGTTTTTGAAAAGAGGATGATGGCCAAAAAACAGCAAAAAAAAAAAAAAAAAAAAAGGATGACAACAGTTTCAATTGTTATTCCTCTTTTAATTTTTGGATTTTGCACATAGTAAGATTCAGACTGTTTCGGAGCTAAGAGTGGTAAGAGTAATTGAACGTCAGCTGTGTAAGGAGGAGGTTCTGAGGTTGCAATGTGAGGCGACAGATCCAGTGCCCTTCATGTTTTGAGACTTCTCTCTACAAAAGAATTCTTTCTCTAATCTCTGCAGACCTTGTGTGCACTCATTCGAGGAGTCCATCAAAAGAATAAATCTACCTCTGGGTTTGACATTATCAACATGCTGATGGGCTTTGACAAGGCAGAGCTGTGCATGAAGGTGAGGTGTCAGTTGCAGGTGTGACTGTGGATGGCTGCTTCTGACAGCTGTTCATGGGTACCATCTGCAGACAGTTAAGGTACTAGAAGATGTGCACGCAGGTAGATATAAATGGTTGAATTTGGTCTTGAATTTGAGTATTTTTGTTTTACAAATTTGGTTTGTCTGAATAAAGGAAAAGTTGAAATTCAAATTTGAATTGAAGTATCCTTCCCCTGCAGGATAAAGACTGAGCAGTTTATTTTTTGATTTATATCATGTGCTCATACATTCTTAAAAACACTTATGAACTCAAATAAAATATAACAAGGGAAATATAATATACAAGGGTAACTTTGGTTCTAAACTTAAGTTTTCTTATTTAACACAATGACTATCAGAATTTTTATTTCTATTGTTTGACTTTTTTTTTTTTTTAAGATTTTATTTATTTGTCAGAGAGAGAGCATGAGCAGGGGAAGCAGCAGTCAGAGGGAGAAGCAGGCTCCCCGCTGAGCAGGGAGCCCGATGCGGGACTCGATCCCAGGATCCTGGGATCATGACCCGAGCTGAAGGCAGACGCTTAACTGACTGAGCCACCCAGGTGCCCTGTTGGACACTTTTTAAAAATAACAGCTTTATTGATAGATAATTCACATATACAATTCACCCTTTTAAAAAGTGTAGTAATTCAGTGGTTCGTTCTTTCTTTCTTTTTTTTTTTTTTTTGAGATTTTATTTTAAAGTAATGTCTATACCCACTGTGGGGCTCGGACTCAAAATCCAGAGATCGAGAGTCCTGTGCTCCACTGACTGAGCTAGCCAGGTGCCCCTCATTCAGTGGTTTTTAGTATATCCATAGAGTTGTACAACCATCACCACTGTTAATTTTGGAACGTTCTTATCACTCCAAAAAGAAAACATGTACCCATTAGCAGTCATTCTCCATTCCCCCTTCTCTCCAGGCCCTGGCAACCATTAATCCACTTTGTGTCTCTCTTGATTTACCTATTCTGGACATCTCATAGTAATGGAATTATGTGTGGTCTTCTGTGTCTGGCTTCTTGCACTTAGCATAATGTTTTCAAGGTTCATCCATGTTGTAGCATATATCAGTACTTCATTCCTTTTTTTGGCTGATTAATATTTCATTGTATGAATGTACTGCATCATTTTATTCATCAGTTGATATGTGGGATATTTCAACATTTTGGCTATTATGAATAAGGCTGCTGTGAACATTCATGAACAAGTTTTTGTGTGGATGTAGGTTTTCAGTTCTCTTGGGGATATACCTAGGAGGAGAATTGCTGGGTCATATGGTAACTCTATATTTAACATTTCAAGGAACTTCCAAACTGTTTTCCAAAGTTGCTATTCCATTTTGCTTTTCCATCAGCAATGTATAAGGGTTCTAATTTTTCCACATCCTTGTCAACAGTTGTTTTTTGTCTGTCTTTTATATATATATTTTTAGAGAAATGTCTTTTCAAATCCTTTACCCATTTCTAGATTGAGTTATTTGTCTTTTTATTGTTGCGTTATAAGAGTTCTTTATGTATTTTGGATGTAAGTCCCTTATCAGCTATCTGATTTATAGTGTTTGACACTATCTTGAATGAAGGTTGTTTATAATATAAACTTTGAAGAATTAGTCTTCTGTCACTCACTAAATTTAAAATAATCTATTTGACAAAGAATTCTTATAGTGATTAAGTTATTTTAAAAAAAGTTATGAATATACAATTATAAATACATGAAGACTTAGTACCTGGAGTTAGTTTTTAATTCTCTCCTATACAGCTCATATATATATATGTGTGTGTATATATATGTATGTGTGTATATATGTATATATATATATGTGTGTGTGTATATATATATATGGTGGTGAAATCCCAGATCTCTCTCATTCTCATAGTTCTCATTGTTGCCTATATGCTCTTGGTTACTAAATCTCTTATTTTTTGCCTTAACGTCCTGTCATGAGACTCAGAGTAGTATACTTTATAAGCAGTTGCTGAATATACACACTCACACATCCCTGAAGTACCTCTTGCTTGACATCTACAAAATGTTTTCCCTTCATCTGTTTTTTTTTCTTTTTTTTTTTTCATTCATTCCACATCAGAATGGGCTCACCTGTCGTCTCAGTCACCCAAGCCAAAAACTTGGGAGTCATTCTTGACTCTTTCCCTCATCTTTCATATCCAGATGATCACTAAGATCAGCTAATTTTGCCTCAGTTCATATTTCTCATACCTTTCTTCCCTTTCTTTCCCCTACTGCCAATGTTCCCGTTATCTCTTGCTTGAACTATTGCGGTGATGCCTTCATTCTTTTGACAAACATCGGTTGGCTCTGATGTGCCAGGCACTGGGGATACAGAGGCAAATAAGACATGGCAACTTCCTCAGAAAATTGATAGATTAGTCCTCATTTGTCTCCTTCCCTCCAGGCTTACCATCTTTAAATCTGTCATCCACACTGATACCACAGTGATGTATCTTACACTCAAATCTTTCTTGCTTAAAATCCTTCATTAGTTTCCCATCACTAACAGGATAAAGACCAAACTCCCTAGCTAGCCTTATACAGCTTTCATCATCTGCTCCCTATTTATTTCTCCAGTCTCCACTCTCACCACTGTGCCTTGCTCTGTACTTCCATAATAATAAACTACTTGTATTCCAACTCCACACCCAGGGCCATTTCATTCCTCATGTGTCTTTGATCATGATATTGCCTGTCTAGAATTCTTTTCCTCTTCAAGTTTTAATTAATTCCTACTGATTTTTCAAAATATAACCCACCCCTGAAGAATCCTGGAATAGGTGACTTCTGAGCAAATTCCCCTTCTCCAAGTATATTTCTGTCATAGTAATCATTAAATTAAAACTGTTTGCTTAATAAGACTGATGAATCACTGACCTCTACCTCTGAAACTAACAATACATTATGTGTTAATTAATTGAATTTAAATAAAAAATTAAAAAAAAAAACCGTTTGCTTTTGCTTATTTTTCTCTTCCAATAGACTGTAAATGCCTTGGGAGCCCGGGTCATTATCTTATTTTTTTCTTGAATTCTTTGAAAGCACAATATTTAGCATATAGTAGGCCCTCCCGATGTATTTGTTGAAGTAGCTAATTTTGAACCTTCACTTGAGCTTCCAGCATGCCTTCTTCATTCATTCTCCTCCTTCATTTAATGTAAAATATTTCTTTTCTTGTTCCTTCAGCTGTAGTGGGTGAGGGTTTCATCTTTTGATTACATTGGGTCTGACAGCTGATTGTTAGTACAAGTGATATACTCCAATCCCATTGCCTAGTAGAATCAGCCAGAGTGGACACAGCTAGCTTTGTGGGATAGTGTATGTGGCCGGTGATAGCCAGTAGTGATATTATGTCTTTGTTTGTTCAGTGTGCCTGCATCAAATGATATACTTTATCTATAGTTAGTTAACCATTATTAATCTTTAACCACTTATTTTTCTTAATTAATTTTATCTAATTAGTTTATTATTGTTTTTAATTTCTTTTTTTTAATTTTTTTATTCTTATGTTAATCCCCTTACATTACAACATTAGTTTTAGATGAAGTGTTCCATGATTCATTGTTTGTGCACAACACCCAGTGCTCCATGCAGAATGTGCCCTCCTAAATACCCACCACCAGGCTAACCCATCCTCCCACCCCCCTCCCCTCTAGAACGCTGTTTGTTTTTCAGAGTCCATCGTCTCTCATGGTTCGTCTACCCCTCCGATTTCCCCCGCTTCATTCTTCCCCTCCCGCTACCTTCTTCTTTTTCTTCTTCTTCTTTTTTTTTTTTCTTAACATATATTTAATTTCTTATTTAACCACTCATTAGCCTTTTAACAATTTACTTCATTCTAATCTAAAGGTTTATATAAGGATGACAGGCTGCAAACACTTACTTGGTAAAGTAGTAAAATCTTTATTGTTCTGTGCAGTTGTTCTAAAGCATTTTCCCCCAGATAGCTACACTTTGAGGTCTTCCTTTTCTTTGTCTAATCTTGCAAGGCCTAGGCCTAAGGGAATGATATGGTTGCTTCATTGTATCTTATACACATGACCCTGTGTAACATAACCCAGAGTTGGGACAAAGACACAGTAGAGATGTTATTTGATATGTTTTAATACTTAACGGATCTCTTTCTCAGAACTTGATGGAGAGTTTGGATTCGTTGCTTTGTGCAGAAGGTTCTGAAAGTCTGAAGAGTTTATGTCTGAAACTTCTCCTTTGCTTAGTGACTGTAAGTGACCCATCTATATGTTTCTCTATCAAGGGTGTTATCGACAGCAGGGGCAAGCTTATTTGAGTATTTGAGCCTAAAGTTAGAAAGGAAAAGCGAAAAAAAAAAAAAAATCTCTGCTCAGGCATCATATCACTCCACTGCATGTGAATGTGTAGAAGGAAGTGAGGTGAATGGGCTTTCACTTCCTGGAAGCTGCTCTTTGGAGCAACTGCGGGCATTTTTAGCCTGCTGAGTATGTGATATTTATCACTTTAGAGGTACCACTCCTAGAGATTTATTGTCTTCTGGATTGTCAGATTTGCCCTTCTTACCAGGTCTTATTTGGAAACAGTTTTTGTGATTCTGTTTCTCTTTATTCTGATTTTGATAAAACGGAGCTGGCCTTTGTCTTCTAGTGAGAGGAGAGGAGGGTATTGTTCATTTACTTCAGGCAGTTGTCTTTCCCCGCCATCACTCAAAGACTTCTGGATCATAAACTTCTTTGTTTGAGAATCTGTTAAGTAAATGCTTACGTGAGGGTGTGAGAGAAACAATGAGAAGTTCAGAGATTGGGAAATTTTAATTTGCTAATTTCTTACCCTTCTAGTGTCTGCCCACTCAGGCTCTGGTAGCTTCAGGGAGCTTATTGAAGGTCTACTAAGTATCTAGTAGAATGTTCTAACATTTCTGATTCTCTCAGATGGTAGGGGAGGAGATATACTTGAGACACCAGAGTGCCTCAGTATAGACTTTAAAAAGCCTTTTATTTCATTCAGGTGACAGACAACATTAGCCAGAACACTATCCTAGAGTATGTAATGATCAACAGCATATTTGAAGCAATTTTACAGGTAGGTCAATTCCCCTGTCACATCTTTCTCTTTTGGGTAAACCACCTCCTCAAATCTTCTCTGTCTGCATTCCTAGGAACTAGGAGTTGGCACTCATTCACTTCTTGTTCTTGTTACAGATACTCTCTCACCCCCCAAGTCGCAGGGAGCATGGGTATGATGCTGTTGTCCTCTTGGCTTTGTTGGTGAACTATAGAAAATATGAGGTAAGTGGGCTCCTAAATGGACAGTTAATAATCTTTCTATAATCTTCCTAAATGTGGCCACTCCTAGGGGACTTTGTTACTTTGTTTAATGTAGAAGACATGTTCCTGGTAAATGGTATAGCCATTTAAAGGAATCCTGTGGTGCGACTTCTAATAAAGTGAGTATCCCTTAATGTAGTGGTTCCCAAACCTAGCTTATTAGAATGACCTAGAACTTTTCAAAAAGAAGAAATTTCTGGGCTTTCCTCTGAACACACTGAATCTGAATCTCTTGGAGGTGGGAACTGGGAGTCTGTTTTTGTTTTTTTCCTTTTGATTCCCCTGTTGAGGATGATGATTAGCCAGGATTGGGAACCAGTGACCTAATGCATCTGTTTTGAAAGATTGGACTTTTGTATATTGGATTTCCATAACGCGGTCCACTTGTGTAAGTACCACTGTTGGTCTGGGAGCTCTTTCTGATTTAAATGGAAAATTGAAGGCAGAGCCTTATCCATGTCAGTTCTGGAGTTCTCTTTGTTCCTGAATTAATCAGGGACAGATTTATAGGTTTTTGAGATGAAGAGCAGAACTCAGAGATTTATACTTGGTTTCATGCCTCTACTTGATTCTTCTCAAAAGGGAGAATACACAGAAAAGGAAGGAGGGCCCTCAGGGAAGACCAGGGGCCTCACTGGAGATGGCTTTGGGGGAATAGGGAGCATTTGGCACTGAGTCCTGGACACTAGGAGTACTTTACTGAACCCAGAAGTCAGGAGCTGCATTGAGGCAACCTGACTTTCTTCACTTAGCAAGTAGCAGTGCTATGAGAGATGGGCCAGCTGGAGGGAGGCTTTTCATTTCTGATCTTCTGGATCTTTACTTAGAGATTTCTTTCTTTTTTTTTTTTTTTAAAGATTTTTATTTATTTATTTGACAGAGAGACAGCAAGAGAGGGAACACAAGCAGGGGGAGTGGGAGAGGGAGAAGCAGGCTTCCCGTGGAGCAGGGAGCCTGATGTGGGACTTGATCCCAGGACCCTGAGATCATGACCTGAGCCGAAGGCAGACACTTAAGGACTGAGCCACCCAGGCGCCTGGAGATTTTTTTCTTTTTTAAAGATTTTTTTTATATTTAAGTAATCTCTACACCCAGTGTGGGGCTCAAACTCACAACCCCGAGATCAAGAGTCGCATGCTGCACTGACTGAGCCAGCCAGGCACCCCCATTTAGTGATTTTTGAGATGGTTCCTAGTCAGGTTGAGAGTGATGGGTAACACAAAACCTGGAGCCTATTCTTATAAGGAGAATATGGAAGAAGGGGAGGCTGTGAGAAATATTTAAAGAGGGACTGGAATATGTGGAGCAATGTTAATATGTTATAATTCCCAGGAGCTGATTGCTTTCATTGTCTTGGAGGAACTGACAGATGGTGTGTAGAGCTACTAATAAATATGTAGTTTATCACCAACACCTGTTTTTGTTTTTTTTTAAGATTTTATTTATTTATTTGACCGACAGTGAGAAAGGGAACACAAGCAAGGGGGGAGTGTGAGAGGGAGAAGCAGGCTTCCCTCTGAGCAGGGAGCCCGATGTGGGGCTCGATCCCAGGACTCTGGGATCACGACCTGAGCCGAAGGCAGATGCTTAACGACAGAGCCACCCAGCTGCCCCACCAACACCTGTTTTACTGGTGATCTGGAGGGGTTGGCATGGTAGCCATTTTGATCTCTGTCATGTGTAATAGCCTCTGAGGTCTTATTGCAACAGCAAGAAAAATAGCTGAGGAAAAATGCTGAAGATAGTTAATGAAAGTTGAGTTATATGTGATAGGAAAGCACCATCATTAGTAATGAATGTTTTCAGAACATTCTCCTGGTTGCAGGCCACTCTGAGGCAATGGCTTGGTTTCTCTAAATGTGAATTGAGCCCAGCCCAGTAGGGCTCTCTGAAATGTCAGCCTGAAAAATTGGACATGGCCAAGGAACTAGAGAAAATCATATTTCTGGAGCGAGGTACGCATCTCTAGTCTGTCAGAAGCCACAGAAGAATTAATATAGTAGGCAAGGGCAAGCTGGCGGGCATAATTTATTTGCGCTTTGCAGCTTTTGATATAAGTCACTCACCAGAAACCATTAAGGAAGCCTAGTGACCATGGAGCAGGAAGGTTTTTGACAGGAACATGAGGAATTCCAGATGAACATAGTAAAACCAAAAGCTGGTGAAGTTTTATGCAAACCGGTATGAGAGGGTGTGTGCTGGGCAGAATAGCATTCTAGCTCCCACCACAATCTGTCCCATGACAGATGGGGAAAGTTGTAACCTTCCTAGTAACGTGCAGAGGGCGCCAGAGAGGCTGGGCGCCCACCTAATTCACAGGGAAGGCAAGTTGGACTTAAGGAATGGAAGTGATGGAAAAGATGTCATGTAGTAAATGTAAATAGTTTTTCTTCACCTCAAATAATGCATTCCATTTTCATTATTTTCTCAAGAGATAGAGGAGGCAAAAAAAAGGGGGGGGCGATGAAAAAGAATAAGTATGGTTTAGATCAGATAAAGGCAGAGCCCTGTTAGAGTGATCCTGTGTAGGCTCACTGAGTTTGTAATTCTGTCTTGTGGGTGAAAAGTAGATTGATTTCAGTTTAAAAATGTGACTGACCAACAACAGGTATATAGTGTTAAAGGGAACTCAGTGTCTGGTAGAATAGAAATTTTCACAGCATTAAGATCCTGGCCTTCTAGGTGGGCCCAGTCTCCTATGATGAAGTGACTTGGCCCCCAACTGCTGTCCTGAACATGATGTTTCCCAGAAATTACAAAATTGTTTATTGTCCAATTGCAGATTGGTCTTTTTCTTTTTCTTTTTCTAAAGAGCTTTCTTCAAATGTAATAAAAATGTTAAAGTAGAAGATATATAGGTACCAATCATTGAGTCCTTACCATCTGCCAGGTACTATGCTAAGGTTTTTACATGTCTAACTTCATTTAAGTCTCATAGCAACCCCGACAAAGAAAATACCCCATTTTACAGATGAGGAAGTTGAGCTTATTAATAAATGTGCCTATCTTGTCACAATTAGTAAGTAGAGGAGCTAGAACTCAAACCCTTGCTTTTAGGCACCTTACCTTTTCCTCAATTGCTAACGCATAGGTTGTTCTTGTTAATCAGATGATCCTTATTATTACCTAAAACAGTGGAGTTTTGGGAAGGTGAGTGATCAGGACTTTAAAAAATTATGCTTAGAAACATTGGCCTGCTCCTTCTAGTGTTCTCTTCATCATGACATTTCTAGGTCGGCCTACTGCTGATTTTCTTTTCTGAGGATCCACTTGCATTCAATCTTGTATGACGTCTGTGGCATCAGCAGGATTTGACTGCTGGTTATAGGAAGCAGTGTGGAGAGCCTTCCTCTGTCAGATCAGTTGACAAGCAGAGTGGGTTTTACCTCCTTAGGTTGTGTTGTAGAAAACCTTGTAAACATTTGGGCTGTTAAGAAAGCAAAGCTGTCTCTTTCTCTATTCCCAGTTGACATTCAAAAGATACCCTCAGAAACTTGATTAAATAAGGTCTTATGTCGGGGGTTTCCAAGTCTCTCAGTAATGAGTTTTCTTGGTTGCTGTAAAAACTACCAATATTGTTCCTTGCTTCCCTTGGGTTAGAATTTGTGCCTGATCTAGATGAGGTCTTTCCTTACATCCCATGCGTGGGGTCACTCCCAAGGTGAGTAGGTCATTGGTTCTCATCCCACTGGTAGGAGATGGACCAACTGCTTAACGAATTTAAATATATGTCCCATTTCCATAGCTGCCCAGCTGAGATTGGGTCTGGAAAAACTCAAGAAATCTTCCAGTGCTATAAGTGATGGGACAATCATTAAATCCCAGTGTTCTGACCAGATTGTAGTTTGGGTAATTACATCCTTTTTTTCAGTTCCCCTGCAGTGTTATTTGGGTATTAGATCCATAAATGGCCTCTCTGGCTGTTAAGCAGCTGCCACTTTCCACCCCCAAGGTGGCTTTGTTTTACGGGTGGGTGAATCAGTCCTTGCATATAGTTCTTGGAATGGTTAGGGAGCCTTTGGGATGAGACTGTAAGTTAGCAACTTATAAATTTGTGCCTTATGGCAAAGAAGCTTTTATGTTCCTCCCAAGACTGCTGTCCCTATGGACTCAGATTATTGGCAGGATAGGACAAAGTGAATTTTGTGGAGTGTTCACTTCTTAGAAATAAATAAGATGGAAAGATGGGAAAAGTAGCAGACACAGGCCTGGGCTGATCCAGCCTAGAGGAAAATGCAAGTAGAACAGAACTGGTGTGTGTGTGTGTGTGTTTGGTGATTGCCTATGCACACTGAGAGAGTTGCTGGAAATGGGGGAGTTAGCTGGCAGGGTGGGTTGGATCTGGGTATTAGGAGCATCACCACAGAGAAAGCATTTTTGTTAACGCTTTGTTAAATAGCTAATGGGTTCTTAACTAAGTCACACTCATCTTGAGTCTCTTCTTTAACAGTCTGTGAATCCTTATATTGTGAAGTTGTCTATTGTGGATGATGAGGCTACGCTCAATGTGAGTATATGGATCCTTGGGTATTGTTTTAATTACTTGCTTTTGGTGGCCTTACTTTCAGTGGATATTTATTTATTTATTTATTTTTTTAAAGATTTTTTTTTATTTATTTATTCATGAGAGACAGAGAGAGAGAGGCAGAGGGAGAAGCAGGCTCCCAAGGAGCAGAGAGCCCGATGCAGGACTCGATCCCAGGACCCTGGGATCATGACCTGAGCCGAAGGCAGACGCTTAACCATCTGAGCCACCCAGGCGCCCTTCAGTGGATATTTAGAACAGAGAGTAGAGAGCTGTTGTGTTAATTTCATCTGGCTATAAAGAGGGAATCGGTATTTCATTTTAGAGCATCAGTGTGACTGTCTTATTGTATTTTATCTTCTTGTCATGGAAGGAAGGTTTGAGGGGACATTTGTTGGCTAATCATCATGAAATGGTTATATTTCATGTTATAGTGTGCTGAGGTTGATGATTCTACAGAGTCAATAAGTTACATTCCCAAGAATAAGAAGGCTTAGATGATATATCAAATCAGCATGATGTACACTTAAAATATCTTACAATTTTGTATGTCAGTTATACCTCAATAAAGTTGAAATTAAAAAAAACAAAAACAAAACAACAAAGCAAGGCTTGTATGACTAACCGGTGGGAGATCCCTTCTTATAGAACTAGCCAGATGGCATTTACAGCCTGACTTGGTGAAGCTGGAAGATGGAAGATGATCTATATACCTGCTACATATGTCCTTGAAAGTTTGGGAAATAATATCTGATCTCTGACTAAGGGAGGAAGAAGATGGCCAGGTGTCTGGCATCTTGCCCTCTTCATTTTTCTAATTTCACTTATGAAAAAAAAGCATACATGATTCATCCTCGTGGCCTGAATTGATCTTTGTGTCATGTTTAGCAGGTTCTAAAGGGGAAGTTGATAAGTCACTTTCACATTTATTGGATGCTTCTTCCTGTTATCCTCCTGTTTTCCTGTGGCCTGAAAGAGTGGTTTGTCTCTATGCCTTCATTTAGTGTGAGACTAACTGTCACTCTTATTGTGACTGTTTTAGAGACATATGAGAGCTTTTTGTTTGAAGATTCTAACTTAGTCTTCTCTTTTGAGGTAAAAATGATCCCAGTGAAATTGTCAGTGATCTGGGCTGGTCCGTTTCACCCCTCCCCAACCTTGTTACTCTGTTAAGTGACATTAAGATAGATCAGGAAAATCTGGACCGTAGGGCTGTAATTAGTGTTTTTCCTGGCCTGGCATTGCCACCAGCCCCTTATTTCATCTGTGCTTTTTTCTTTCTAGGGAATGGGGCTTGTGATTGCTCAGGCTTTATCTGAGTACAACAGGTAAGTCCACTGTTGAGTAGAAAACAGATTTGCTCCAGTGCTTGGGTGAACTTCCCTTACCTATCCTAAAAAGGTATTCTTAGGTTTAGCTTCTGGCAGATGTATTTGCTCTAGCTCAGCTTGATGGTCTTAGCAGGGGTTGTGTCTAAGACCAAGGGGAAAGTAGCCACCAGCTTAGTGTCCATCTTTTCTTTAAGCAGTTAGGCACATTCTTTTGCAACCTTTGGTATTTTATTGCAGAACATTTTAACTAGTTTTCCAGCCACAAGCAGGCTCTTCCATTTAGCCCCATGTATCCTACAAATACAATTTTCTCTGTAAAAAAAAAGTTGGGAAGCACCACATTTTGTACACTTAAAAATAAATAAAAAGAAAAAACATACTGAATTAGCTCTAGTTTGATGGATGCTTCTTTTTCATCAGGAATCGACTGCCACTTCCCTGAGTCCCTGTCTTTTCTGGGTCTCTCTTCATCAATGCTTGCTTTCCCTCTTGTTTTGGATGAGGAAGGTATCTGGTATTCAGTGAATGGAAACCAGAAGTGTTCCTAATCCTGGCAAGGGCCAGGCATTATCTTGCTTGCATTTCTTCAGACTTTGCTCACACACAATTGGATATGGAATTTCAAATCTGCCCCATCTCCACAAATAGTTTAGCTCACAGATTTCCCTCCTCTTCCTTCAAAAACAAACAAGATTTTCACTGTTACAGTCTGAAAGTAATTTCACTGTTACACTTTTCAAGTAATAGTCTGTTTGGGAAATAACTGGATCAGCCATATGTTAGAGCAGTTTCACACGTTTGCAGCTTGCTGTTCGGAGTCTTTCCCAAAGTAGCCAGGCATTTTGATACACGCTGCCTCAAGAGCAGATGTGTGTCTCTTAGCTTGCAGGGGAAACTGCTGTGGCTAGATTGTCATAATGCTTTTGTTTTCTGGAGTCAGTGAATTCTCTGAGTGCCCTGCCCTGATTACCTAGAATGCCAAGGACAAAGACATACTTGATAAGTAATACTAAAGTTGAATTTAGTTATTTTTGTTCAGGCAGTATAAAGACAAGGAAGAAGAACACCAGAGTGGTTTTTTCTCTGCTTTAACAAATATGGTAAGTCCAACTTGTTTTTTCTGTCCTGCTAGGAATGTAAGAGGTCTGTAGGGGTAGACAAATTTGGACTCAGAAGTTCAAATGTTTGAGATGATGGCATGATGAGGGGAGAGTGTCTCAGAGCAGATTTTTTTGAGAGCTCTCTTTTATTGATTTCCAAACCCAAGTGAGATAGGGAGAGGAGAGCTCTGATTGCTCTGGGACTGATTTTTTCAAATTAATTAATTCAGTTTTTTAAAGGCTAAAAAAGCATACATATTAAGTCAGACTTTTGTCTCCTGAAGAGCTAGCTGTGTTTGAGGATTGACCCTGCAGAATATTGATTGACTAGGTAGGAGAATTTAGATCTGAGTGTAGACCCGAGTGCTCCTTGGCTGTCTGCTATGGCCACTTGATTCCTCATAGCTGGTCCTGGAGTCAAGGGATTGATGCAAAGGATTTGAGCTACTCCTCTAAAGATTTAATGGACTGAGAGGTCCGTAGTTGAGGAAAGCTATTGGTCCAGTTTGCAAGACTTCTGAACAAGGTTTCTCAACCTTGACACCGTAGACATTTTGGGCCAGGTAACCTGGGACTAATTTTTTGTTTTTTTTAAAGATTTTATTTATTTGAGAGAGAGACACAGCGAGAGAACACAAGCAGGGGGAGTTGGAGAGGGAGAAGCAGGCTCCCCACGGAGCAGGGAGCCCGATGCGGGGCTCGATCCCAGGACCCTGGGATCATGACCTGAGCCGAAGGCAGATGCTTAACAACTGAGCCACCCAGGCGCCCCTGGGACTGACTAATTTTTAAGAGATGAATCTAGTAGGTCTTAGAATCTGGGCAGATTCAGAAAGTCTTTTTTCTTGGACATTAGTATTCAAGTAATCAGCTGTAGGGCAAGACAGTTTTTGAGTTCATTGCAAAAAAACAGCTATCCCTCTACCCCCGAGAAAGGCAATTATTCTCCCCAGTGCTTAGGTCTTCCCTTCTTTCTCAGAGCTTACTCTGAGAAAAGGATTTGCTGAGCTCTTTAACTCTGAAGCATAAATGAGTAAAGTCAGAGTTCAGAGCAATATGAGTGCTGTGTTGGTATTTGGTTAAATGAATTGGATATACTATTACTGCTCCAGGGATCCTTGCCTTTTAGCCAGGAAGAAAAAGTTTTGTACTAAAGAAAGGAAGTTCCAGCTGCATAGTTTGGGACATCAGTAGGCAGAAGGAAAGGTATTTTTAGAGGGATGGGCATCTTTCTCAGTGCCTCTGACATCACACATACTGGAGGCAACCTACTCCGTTTACTTATGTGGCTCCCCTGCCTATGACACAAACTAAAGATTTTGTTAAAGATGGACAGTGGGTCTCCATAGACATTTCTGGTCTGAAACTCAAATATTCCTCTGAAGACAGCTTATGTTGGATATGGAATCAGTGTGCTTTCTGTGGTACTCTTCATGAATTAGTTTCTGACTTTAAGTAAGCAACTTTTAAGAAAGATGCTGAGTGATGAGGAGGTCTAGGTTAACATTTATTTGCTGTCAGTGATTACTAAACTTATACATTGAAAAGGAGAGCTGGACAAAAGTCCTGATTGTTCTTTTTTTTAAAGATTTTATTTGTCAGAGAGAGAGCGGGCATGAGCAGGGAGAGGGGCAGGCAGAGGGAGAAGCAGGCTCCCTGCTGAGCAAGGAGCCCGATGCAGGACTCTAAGTCCCAGGACACTGGGATCATGACCTGAGCCAAAGGCAGATGCTTAACTGACTGAGCCACCCAGGAGTCCCCTGATTTTTTTTTTTTTTTAAAGATTTTATTGTGAGAGAGGGAGAGCACAAGCAGGGGGAGCGGCAGGCAGAGGGAGAAGCAGGCTCCCTGCTGAGCAAGGAGCCTGATGTGGGACTTGGTCCCAGGACCCTGGGATCCTGACCTGAGCTGAAGGCAGACGCTTAACTGACTGCACCACCCAGGCGTCCCCCGATTATTCTTTTTTAAGGCCCTTTATGGAAAGACAATTCAGTGGATTTCTCGTTATTTCAATATTTTATTACTTGTGATTATTTGAAGATCTTGAAAGTGAGCTGGTTTTGGTCTGTATGACTGGTGGGCCATAGTTCCACGTTCCCTCAGTCTGCACGCCACTTATTTTTTCACTGATCAAATGCTTCGCGTAAGCACAGAGCTCCTCTCACATTTCCCTGCTATAAGTCTGCAATGCCTCTTTTCTTCCACAGGTGGGCAGCATGTTCATAGCAGATGCCCATGAGAAAATCTCAGTACAGTAAGTGCTTGGAATTCTTGTGCAGTGACTTGAACTTTAGTGTGAGCTCTCTGGCTGGATATGAGTGTGAAACGTTACCTCTTGCTAATCTTTTACAGATTCAAACTTTTATGGTGACTTATCAAATGTTTCTTGGGTTTTAAACAAGAATGGACCCTTAGAAACCACTACTTTGGTCATGTCTGTTGAGCCCTGAGAAGCCGATAAATGGTTCCCAGCTGTCTCTGGACTGAAATGCAAGAGGGCTGGGTGTCTGAGCCAGTTAAGGACTTAACTAGATTGGGGTGGAAAAGTGAGAGGGAAAATAGGGGATGAAGTAGATAAGAACTAGTTCTAAGGAATTAAGTTAAGGCCCTGACTCCTTCCGTATATACCCTTTATATAAACCCAACAACGAAATAAAGGGAGCATTAGAAATGCAAAGGGACTGATAATGAGGAGCTGGGTGAAATTGTATCTTGATGGTCATACTGTTCCACTTCCACTATAAGAGCCTCTCCAATTTGTTCTCTTTTCTTCTTTAGAACCAATGAGGCCATCCTTCTGGCACTTTATGAAGCTGTTCATTTAAATCGTAACTTCATCACAGTGTTAGCCCAGGTTGGTTATGTTAAAAACTCCAGTGCTTCTCCCTGAATTTCATACAGATTGACTCCACTGAGAACCCTATCTGGCTGTGCCTATTTAGATCTTGGTTTGTAGTGGTAAGTGGTAGCACCAGAGGTGCATCAGTTGTCTTTGCGGCAGGCTGTCCTCAGATATGTATGTTTCCATCTGGTGCTGAAGTGGGTCTGATAACATGCAAAGTAATGGCTTTGACCAGTTTACTATTCTTTTGCCCAGTTGCCCAATTCTCTTAACCCAAATGAATGGAGATTATTTTGAGTGGAGATTATTTCATTTTGCTCACTGGCAGTCCCTTGGTATTATCTGCCCATATGGATTTTTATGTCAGACTTTCTGCTTTCTAAACCACTGTGGAATTACAACTAGAGATAAAATAGGCCAAATCACTTGTCTTATTATTTCACTAATTTCCAGAGAAGAAAAGTAAAAAATATCTTGTCTAACATGAGGCTAGCTGTTAACAACAACAACAGAATGATCTACAAATATTGAAAGCAGAAAGTCCTAGAATACCGAGTGCTGGGTCACTTGCCCAGCTTGGGATATCCTGAGTAGTTGGTAGAGAAGGGGATTAGCACAGGTTGAGAACTCAAGTGCTGTCCATGAAAGCCGTCTTTAAAGATTGATAAAGTGTTTTTATCTTAAAGTCAGACGGTTTAAAATATGTATGTAGGTTTCTTTTAAAAGAACATTTGCTTATGCTTTTTTCTCTAAGGGCAGTTGTGTATGGAATCACTGAGTTTTAACAAAAAAATGAGGTCATGCTTAAAAGGCAGTGTGCTTGTTTAGGGTCTGCCTAGGAGGACACTTATTTATCAAGACTGAGAACATGAGAGATTTTATCCACTATTCTCATTCTGTTTGTCTGCTCTCTGGATTCTGTAGCTGATTTTAAAGGAGGGGAAGAGTTAAAAGGCTGAGAAAGCTGTTGGGGAAGAGAAGGGAGTAGCCACCACTCAGCTTAATTCTTTTTTTTTTTTTTAAGATTTTATTTATTTAATTGACAGAGAGAAAGCGAGAGCAGGAACACAGCAGGGGGAGTGGGAGAGGGAGAAGCAGGCTTCCTGCTGAGCAGGGAGCCCGATGCGGGGCTTGATCCTAGGACCCTGGGATCATGACCGGAGCCGAAGGCAGTCGCCCAACCAACTGAGACACCCAGGCGCCCCTCAGCTTAATTCTTAAGAGCTGATGTGACAGAGATGGCTAAGGAAGGTCAGGAACAGAGGAGTTGTCTGTTTTGGTCCCAGTGGATGTCTCCCCCATGTCTCTGCTTCCACCCTACGTACTCTTGTTGGTTGTGGAATAGGGAGGCTGCTGTCTGCATAGCTCTTTTTATAGCACTTCTTATCCACTTGCCTTGCCTGTACTTACTAGTCAACTGTGTGGTCATCAGAACAGTCTATAGATGTGTTTTAGGTTGATCTGATGAGAGTAGTCCTTGCCCAGGTTCAGATAGGACTGCAGATGCCCTTTTTTTGGTAGAATAATCTCATGTATTTGTTTACCCCAGTTTTTTATTTACATGGTTCTGCAGAAAAACTTATGTAATGGAAACTTACTGGCTTAAAAAAACTAGCCCACAGAGCTTCTTATTAGAGGTTAGTAAGCATCAACAGGAATCAGGTTCTCAAGGGAACTCAGTGTAGAAGCAGTCCCTCCTTAGTGAGCATTCCATCTAATTATGAGGCCAGGAATACCAGAAAGGATATTATGGAGAGGATACTCAGAACTGGGTTATGTCTTTTCTTGCCTGCTTCTGTTCTCTTTCAGAGTCATCCGGAAATGGGCTTGGTGACAACCCCTGTCAGTCCTGCTCCTACAACCCCAGCCACACCACTTGGGACCACGCCGCCCTCCTCTGATGGTAAGCCCACCACCTCTTGTTTTCTTGACTAATATGATCTTGAATCTTTCAGGGTGAGCATAGCTGTGTTGAACAAAGAACACAGCTGTTGATTCTTTCAGCTAAGAAATTGTTCTGAGGTGCTATCCTTCAGGACTTCTAAAGCTCCAAAGGAAGCTTGGGAAAAGAAAGTCAAGTGTTTTTCCTGTGTAAGAAGCTACATAACTCTAACTTGTCCTCAGGGAATGGTTGTAGAATCATGGGGTGCTAGATCTGAAAGGGACCTCTGAGGTCAGTAATGCCTTTCCTGCCAAACTCTCAGGGTACTTGTGAGGCTCTGATGAGATATTTTATGAATATCTCTCTGAAATAAAAATAAGATAGTAATATTATCTCATGTTACCATTGCCCAGATGAGGGAATTGAGGCCAGAGAAATAAGTGGATCACCTCATGTTAGTGACAATTGAGACTAAGAACCAGGACACGGGTCAGGGCAAGGACCATGTCTGTTTTGTTCACTCCTGTCTGTCCAGCGTAGTGCCTGGCATGGTCACTGCTTAATAAATATTTGTTGAATACTTGGAAGAGAAAGTGAACCTGGGATTTTACTCACTGGTATGTATCTGCCAGCACTTGCAGTGGGAAAACAGTAAGCTTTGAGTGTATTGTAATTGAGAATTTGGTATTTAAGACTTCTCCCTCTGAAACACACCTACCCACCCACACAGAATTTCTACTTTATAAATTTTATGGCTGGGACTTAAGAAAAAGATAACAGGAAAGAAATTACGAATTTTCCCCAGTGAAGTTTGTCATCTAACTGTGTTTGATAGAGTATATTAACCTAAGAATAATCTTTGTTAGTACTTGATGTTTTGCCTAAAATGTTGACTGAATTTTGGGTAAAGATGTAGAGGAAATCTAACTTGGATCCTTTTTCTGTGCCTCTCTCTGTCTGTGAAGTGACCTTCTTCAGTCTGCCCTTTCTCCTTGACATTTTCGTCTGGCCCCTGTGGCAGTAGCATTTGAAGGCAGTGGAAGTGATATTGGTACAGAAGCGAGTCAGGGAGGTGCCATTGATGTTCAAGTCTATGTAGCAAATTGGATCCATTTAGAACTGAAAGTCAAATTCCAAAATATCTTAATGAGAAGGAGCAAGTAGTAAGGACTGCCTATTTATCTCTGCTTTTTCAGGTCACTGAAAAATCCAATAGAAATACAGTTCTTTCTCTTTAAGGATGAAGCCTGCCTGGTTACCATGGCTATCAAAAGCCATATATATCTATATATCTATATATCTATATATCTGAGTCCCATGTGATGTTGGGGTTTGGACGCTTCAGAGAACTGCCTTTCAAACTGTTCATTGTGAACACTTCCACCCACACACTTGATTATGCAATGGCAGGATTTGTGCTTACTTACCTACAACTAGTGAGCTTTTATTTTTTCTAGTGGGAAGATGGAGTCAGCCCACTTTCAAATGACTATCTCCCTTGACAGAGGCTGCTAGGAAGAATTATGAAGCCAAAGATCAAGGAATAACTCTTCTTTAGGAAGGAGATTTTAATTTGTGAGGGATTTTATTCTATTTCTTCTGTTTTATTCTTTTTTTTCTCCCCTGATTAATTTCTTTTCAATAGGGATCCTAAACATTATAACTTTTTTTCCAGGTTTTGGTTTTTAATTATGTATAGTGGTGCTCAGTGGCCCAGTTAGATTTAAAGGTATGTCACTGGAACCATTATTTTTAAAAGCCAGCAGTTTAGATGTAACATTTGTTCTCAGCTCAGACTTGACATTTGACAACTCAGCCTTGGCATGAGAGGACTTTCTGGTAAACTAAAAATACATATACTTCTATATTTCTACGTATTATATAAGACAGTTTTCCAGTTACTGCTGTGTGTGAGTAGGAAAAAAGTTCCACTTACCGGTTAGATGCCTCTTTGTATTGGACAAAGGAAGGGCTCTGAGCTTCAAAATAGGCTGGAGTTTGAATTGGTAGTCTCAGGTCATTAACCCATAGTATGAATTAAGACCTTTTGGTATTTCAACATAAAAATACATTTGTCTTTTATTAGTTTTGGGGGACTGAAATGTTGGAAAACAGCCAAGGATTGGGCATGCTAATTTCTTCTCATAAGGCTTTTTGTTGTACTTGTTGTGTGTTTGGAACCATTATATGCAAATGTTTCCCATTGTTAATAAATGTTCTCAGCATACATCGTAATAACTCCAGAGGAATCCATTATGGTTATGAATACATATTATGAATAATATCCCAAACTCAAGTGAGTCTTCTATAGGTGAAAATACAGCAGAAAGCTGTAGATTCTCTAGCTTGTCTGAGCCAGCATGAGTCCTTTTGCTTTTATATTATGTCCTAGTGCAAAAACAGTTAACAAGATGTGTAAGTCTAATTTAAAGTCTTAGAAGCTTGAAAAATCTACATTAAGACTGTTCTGGGGGCTCCTGGCTGGCTGTCGGTCGTGAGTTCAAGCCCCATGTTGGGTGTGGAGGGAAAAAAAAAAAATAAAAAGACTGTTCTTTGTGGGTCCCAGCCCTGGTTTCGTCCCTCATTGTTTATTAGGAGTGTGGCACAGAGAGTGGGGACAAGGGGTAGTTTCTTTTAGAAATAGCAAGCAGTTGGGTAAATAAAACTCAGTTTCCAAGCTGTCCCAATCAGTAATATCCACCTGTTTTCAGTCTGGTATTCTTTTTCAGGTTCCCTTTCAGGGGTGAAGGGATTAAGGAGTAGAATTTGAATATAGTTCTGCCTTAACTTTTTTCCATTCCATCTTGGATATTTCCAGCCTAAAGGCTTTTTCTCAAAACGGAGCAAGATTTCTCCTTATTAGGAATGAATTGTCATTTATTTTAAGCAGGAGACTCATCAAAGCAAGGCTAATTTATATTCAATACAGATCTTTCCCTTAGGTACAAATCAGAGTGCCTTCAGAAGGGCCCTGAACACTTTTGGGTTACTTGAGGCTAGAAGTGGAATCAAAAGACCCTTCTTAGGATGCTGGGAGGAAAGCACTATTCCTGGAGACTAGCCCTTCTAGATTATGAGAAGGGTATTGGCCTTAATCTTGGGAGTAGGAAGGGCTCTAGAGGTCTAGGAACAGTAGTTAAGGGTTTTATGATAAGCACTTGGTCCTCCCTCTTTTGTGAAAAAGTTTATTTAGTGATATCCTTGCCTGCTGGCAAATTGGCTATGTAGGTAGAAGTGTTAGATGGAATATGTTGTAGGCTAAGTGCATTTCATCTGTTCTATTCCAGTTATAAGTTCTGTGGAACTCCCACTGGATGCAGATGTACAGACCAGTAATTTACTGATAACCTTCTTGAAGTATAGCTCGATTGTCATGCAGGACACCAAAGGTAAGTCATGCTACTTTGGGGGCTCAGGAAGCAGGGGGTATGGCAGCAGCTACTTAGCTAGAATCAAGGAGCAGCATTAATACTTTGAAGCTTGGACAGGATGAACCACTGGGGCATCCTGTACAGGGCAATGGTCCTGATTACTGGAAAACAGTGATTTCTCACTGCCAGATGGCAATTAGGTGGTGTTGGGAAAACCTGGAGCTGGACGGGTAGTACTTCAAAAATAGAACAGGAAAAAAAATTGGTCTCTACAAAAACTAGCAAGTCATTTTAGCAGATTTTGGTAAGTAGATGCAAACTCTTTTGTGTGGGAAGTGGGGGGATTAGCACACTTCAGGGAATTCCCTTTTGAGGACAAGAACTGGAAGCATCAGCTTGTGAGAATTCTTGGACTGTTGTACCAACCACAGTAGGAAGAGGTGAGATTAAGAGGGACAGTGTTCCTTAACACTTAAAATAGAAGTGTCAGTACCCATCCAGAGATGCAGAATGGAAGTGGGAGAGGACTGGTTGTTGGAAAAGTTTGAGTTTATTGTCTCTGGTTTCCTGTTCTTCATCTGTTTATGATCTTTCTTTTTTTTTTTAAAGATTTTATTTATTTATTTGAGAGAGAGAGAATGAGAGACAGCATGAGAGGGAGGAGGGTCAGAGGGAGAAGCAGACTCCCCGCCGAGCAGGGAGCCCGATGTGGGACTCAATCCCGGGACTCCAGGATCATGACCTGAGCCGAAGGCAGTCGCTCAACCAACTGAGCCACCCAGGCGCCCCTGTTTATGATCTTTCTGTGATCTTTTAATTGATGGTAGGGAAGGGGAATACTTGGGCTGGGTGTGAGAAGGGATTGGGAGGAAATCCAGCAGATTCTATCCAGTATATAATTCAGTCCATTGGGAGCTACAGAGATGGTGAACCTCTGAGACTTGGCAAGTGAGATCTGATAGGTGAGGATGGCAAGACTCTTGTGTATCTGTGTTTCCTGAGGCTTTTGCTTCTCCTTTGTGGAGGGGGGTAACCTCTTTCTTTCTCTAGAAATGTCACAGCAACCACAGAAGAGAGAGACTGTATAGATGTGACCCTGCAAGTTAACTTGTAGCTTTGCTTGATATAACACAGTGAATTGAGGCCCTTGGAACTTACTGCTAACTTTAATGATCATATAAAGCTGTTTGTGCTGGTCACTTTGTCATACATAAAATGGAAGGCAAAATTGAGGGCAGATTAATTGTAGTATGGGCGGTCTCAGGCTGTGTCTCTAAACTCAGGCTCAGTTAGGTCTTTGCTGACAGGCAGCCTAAATATGGCAAGGGGTAGGGTTAGGTACTATGAAGAATTAATTTCAAAAATGACTCCTGTGAGACTGAGGGAGTGCAGAGAGGGAAAAAAATGGCTCCTGGGTGGCTATGTTGGCCCAGCTGTCTTGCTGTTAAGCCCCTGACCTTCTGCATGCCCTGACTAACAGGATTTCATTATGATTTTAGGAGCAAATAGAAGCAACTTTTTCTTGGCTCTGCTCTGTCCCCATGCCCCAGATATTAGCTTTTTCTTAATTATATATTTATCATTTGATACCTATAAAAAGATACTTCTAATATATATAAATATTAAATTATAAAGTTTTTAAATAAGTATAATAAATAGCATGAGTTATAAAGTGTAATATAAAATGAACATGTGAACCTACCATTCAGCTGAAGAAATATTAATGATGTTGAAGCTACCTGTGTGTCCCCTACCCAGTCGTTCCTCTCTTATCCAGTCTGCAGAATTTTATCATTCCCTTGATTCAGTCAGCTCTGCTTTCAAAGCCTTTTTTTCTTCTGACTCGGGTGTTGTCACCTTGGAGGAGTATCTGCTCAATCTTTAAAATAGACATTAGGCAAAAATATTTTAAAAAATGTAATGTATACCTATGCATAAATTTTAAAGTCGATTCACCAAAATCTTAACAGGACATCTGGATGGGATGATTAAACTTGGTTTTTATTGTCTTTTGTGCGTCTCTGAATTTAAAAAAGTTTATAATGAAATACGCCTTATTTTTATATTCAGAAACATTTTTTTTTTAAGTGGAGAGATAGCTGCAGGCTTTTTTTTTTTTTTTTTGAAGATTTTATTTATTTATTTGAGAGAGAGAGAATGAGAGAGAGCACATGAGAGGGGGGAGGGTCAGAGGGAGAAGCAGCCTCCCTGCCAAGCAGGAAGCCTGATGCGGGACTCGATCCAGGGACTCCAGGATTATGACCTGAGCCGAAGGCAGTCGCTTAACCAACTGAGCCACCCAGGCGCCCCATGCAGGCTTTTTTATAGGAGTTGCTCATCAGCTTTTGGGGAAAGGGAGGATAGTGCCAGAGAAATTCTGTGGCCAGAGGTAGGTAGAAGAGTCTCATGAATCTAGTTTTGCATAGGCAGGGGCATTTCTTTGCTGGCTGCCTAGGAGCCCTGATGTAAGCTCTGGGGAATGTCAAGGAAGTATCATTATCATTATTCTATATGCACTGTCTGTCTATGAGGAGAGGTGAATGTATTTCTGGCCTACAACTCCCATTATGCCTTCTAATTGTCAGGTTTTAGTTGATTTTATCTTTGAGGAAGTAGCAGGTTAATGTCAGGGTGAATTCTATTAGTTCCTTTCTATATAGCACTGTAATCTGTTAATAGATCTTCTCTCAGAATGGACTTCAGTTTGGGTCCTGTCAAAGCTAATTTGAAGCATCATAATCATTTGTCCATTTTGGATATGCTGGTATGACCCTCTTCTTGCCTCCATTTCACCCATCACCCACAAAGATCCTGGGAAGTAAATAAGCTTTGATGGTTCCGGTAATTGGCAGTGATGGAGTAGCTCTTTCTTGGTCATTTGTGTGGGCTTAAAGCCCTGCTCCTGAGGTTACCTTCTTTTTTAATAACTAGAATGTGAGTTCTGGGAGACCAGGGACCTTTGTTCAGTTCAGTGCTATATCTAATACCTAGCAAAGTGCCTGCCATGTAGTAGGTATTAAGTAAATATTTGTAGAGTGAATAACTTTGGCAGGAAGAAAAGAAATATGGTGAAGCGTTCACAGCTTTCTCAGTCCTAAGTAGTGTGCACAGTATAAGGAAAGCCAGGGGCTGGCCCCTGGTTTTTTGTTTGTTTCTGATTCCACTGCCAGTTTGCTATGAACAGTTATAAAACCTTTCTAGGTTTTGTGGGACGTGGCTATAGATGGTGGCCTTTTGGCTAAGATCAAGTATAGCTGGTAGATGGGAAGAGATGGGGAAGGGAATAGACCTGACTATTCAGAAGCAAAGCGTTTTTAGGGAAGCAAAGGGCATGGCCCTGATTTGGGCCATGATAGTAGGAACCATAGTTAGATTCTCAGGAAGGTCGTTAGCTCTCCATTTTTCTAAAAAATATTCTGGAGGATTCTTTTGCCTAGTAGAATAGCAAGAATTACTCTTGATTTTTTATTCAGGAATTTTGTAGGGAGGGGGAAAGTAGAAATGATCTTTGTGATGATACACATCTTTATTCTCTATATAAACATGATTTGGATGATATGGTGGGAAGGGTTTCTTTTTTCTTTTTTTTTTAAATTTTTATTTGTTTATCAGAGAGAGAGAGCACAAGCATGGGGAGTGGCAGGCAGAGGGAGAAGTAGGCTCCCTGCTGAGCAAGGAGCCCTATGTGGGACTGGATCCCAGGACCCTGGGATCATGACCTGAGCTGAAGGCAGAGGCTTCACCGACTTAGCCACCCAGGCATCCCTATTTTTTCTTTACAGATGAGCATCGGCTTCACAGCGGCAAACTCTGTCTGATTATACTTACGTGTATTGCAGAGGTAGGTGTCACTAGTCTTCTGAGAGAGTAGCTAATCTCTTACAGAGTGCTATCCTTTTTCTGCCCTTCTCCTGTTCCTTTTAGGATCCTAAAGCTTGGGAAAGAAAATCTTTCCTCTTTGTATTGTCTGTCTCCTCCCACTAGAGTGTAAGCTCTGATAGCAAGTATTTTGTTCCTTTACCAGTGTGTTCTCAATGTCTACCACATAGTAGAGCCTCAGTTAGTATTGACTGGATGAATTAATAATGAATTGTTTTATGTTAACTGCTATAATTTTGAACTGGAAGATGTGAGCTCTTAAGAGTTTTAAATACGAGATTTAAGCCTCTGTAGAAGAAATACTCCTACTGCTTTGAAGCTGCTCATGTTGGGTCTTTTGCATTTAGCAAAATGAAAAAAGGAGCTCAAGTTTCCTGTGGGGGGTGGTGGATAGAAAAGTGAAAGAGGGGAATTGGAAACCGAGTAAAGTTGGGCTGATTGTAGTTTGGTGAAGAGTAAGAGCCCAAGAGTGAACAAAAGAGGTGCTTTATCAGGAGCCTCTTTTGGTTGGATTAATTAGGCCTGAACTCACCCTGAATCTTGGTGGCAACACAGGTGTAAAAAACCACAGGGCCCAAATGGCGTCACTCAGGCAGATCCCTGGTTATGGGAAGAACTTGAGTCAATTTAGAGCTAAATTTTCGCTTCAGCTTCCCCCTTTACTATCCCTTATTTTGATCTTTTCTCTCTCAAGAAAAATAGTAAAGGTGGTCCACATGGAGTAAAGACCTCGCTCATTCTTTCCCTTTTTATGTTCTCTGTGAAAAGATGACCTACTTTTCACCAGGTTATGGGTAGCTGGTTATAGAAGAGCTGCTTATTAGCAGTGGGCCTGGTGTAATTGCTTTTCAAAAATCTTTCTAAGAAAATCTTTAAAGGAGTTGTTTTTCACAAATTGTAACAGTTCCTAGTAATTGGAGTCTGTAGGCATGTCAGATCTTCAGAAAAGGTGTTGGGAAAGGGCCAAAGGATGTTCATTACCGATCCATGGGTGAGAGGTTTTTGATTTTCCATCAGTCCTCAGCAAAGCCAGAGATAGATGGGGTCTTGCCTCCTGCCATGCTGCCTGTGTAGCAGTTTTCTCCTGCTGGGCCAAGCCCATTCCCAGCACAGTGCAGACCTCTCTTCTTAATCGTGGATCCTCATGTGGAGTCTGCACATGTATCCTGCCGCCCTGATGAAAACCTTCAAGCTGTCACAAATGGAGCAGACTCCTTGGGCAGATGGGAAGGAAGAGAGAATAGGAAAACAGATTTTTCTCAGCATTTGCCTCAAGTCCTGTGCCTTAATTTTATATTGTTTGTAATTTGCTGAGAGATTTTTGACCAGTTAGAGACACACTGGGAAATTATATCCAATTAAAATCTCATTAAGTAGGGTTCGACATTAAGACTCTAGTCTTATCCCATTAGCCCTCTTAACGGGTCCTTGAAAGTAGTTTTTTCCTTTCTTTTCTTTCTTTTTTTTTTAAAGATTTTATTTATTTATTTGAGAGAGAGTGAGAGAGAGCAAGCACTATGGAGCAGGAACCCAGATGCGGGGCTCAATCCTGGGACTCCAGGATCATGACCTGAGCCGAAGGCAGATGCTTAACTGACTGAGCCACCCAGGCGCCCCTTGAAAGTAGTTCTTGAAGTACAAGGATTTGTAGCAAGTGTGATAGATTATAAACTGAGTTTCCTAAGTATAGCTCTCATTCCTTACTTTTTCTCCATATTTCTGTTTTTTTAGGATCAGTATGCAAATGCATTTTTGCATGACGACAATATGAATTTTCGAGTAAACTTACACAGAATGGTAGGTGTGACTTTTGTTTCTTGTTTTTTCTTAGAGGAAATTTTTGGTATGTTGGCAGGATTGGGGAGGATGAGATTGATCCTACTTAGAACAAATGTGGGTGGAATGTTTTACTAAAGGACTTTTGCTTAACTGCTGTTCAACAGGCCCATGCCTGTTGGGATTTTTTTTGCATGTCATGGAGCTCTTACTCAAGAGAGGATGGAAAGATCCACAACCATGTCCACATGGCAGTAATATTAGAATGTATCAATAATGTAGATTTCAACAAGGAGATAGGCCTAAGCCTTTTGTTTTTAAAATGTAGTATGATCTTTGATTATTAAGTTAAGACCAGATGCTGTTTTATTTATTTGAGAGGCAGGGGAAATAGAATATGAAGGTATCAGGGAATTACTTCAAACTTGGAGGTATGTTCAAAAATATCACATTGAGGTTTATATTTGAAACTTACTTTTGTTTTTTGCAACTGCTACTGTTACTGCCTCTACACAGTTACCTTCTTCTCTTTTTCTTTATTTTATCAAAGAAAAATACCAGTATACCTCTTCTGTTGTTAGTAATGTCACTTGTAGAGATAAAATCAAAGTAAAAACAACAGCTTTCCCATTGTAGTATGCTCCAGTGCCCTTTGGGGCTGTTGTCTTGCTGTGAATTGTGTTTTTGTCACAGGCCTGCATTGATAACTAAGAAGCATTTACAAGTCCTCCCTGCCCCACCCCACCCCCATCACTAGAAAAAGAAAGAAAAGGTAGCATCTCTGTAGTAGTGATTTTATTTGCATGAAAAACGTGATGATGAGCCATTGGATATCAATTCAGGTGTTTACTTATTTCATTTCTTTTTTGTGTGAAGCCTATGAGACACAGGAAGAAGGCAGCGGACAAGAACCTTCCCTGCCGTCCCTTAGTATGTGCAGTACTGGGTGAGTCTCATCAAAATTGGCATTTTTCTGAGACAAATTTTCATGATTAAGATGAGGGACAGATCCTGGTTGCAGTGCTTCTCCCTCAGAGAAGGTACTAGTTATGTTTCTTCTCTAGTTTAAGAAACCATGTTTATTGCTTAGTTTGGTGAAGCAACTCCAACAAACAGAATGCTCAATTAAAGGGTTCTCTTGTTTAAAGAAAAAGATCTTTCCAGGGAGACAAATGGCTAAGTCTAAGCCTGATACATGATTTAAATTTGTGAAGTATCTTATTCCTGATGAAAATTTCAAATTATTCATTCCCTTCTTCGTCCAAATTGATGTGTTAACTGGCCAGGAGGCTTGAAGTTCACGGATCAGAAATACAAAACTTCCTCTGAGTAAATTAAGCTGCGATGAGGCTGACAGAGCTGACAGTAGGGGGTTGTATCTTATGTGATTATGTCTGCCCAGAATTCTGCGTTTTCCTCAGGGGAGTGATCTGAACTCTTAATCCCATTTCATTTAGATATTCAGCCCTGGTTCCTAAAGCTACTTGATTTTAGAAACAGTAATTAAGACTATATAATAAGCCTCTATTGACCCAAAGCCCCACAGACCATTCAGTCAATATCTGTCAAACTGAGCGTGATTGTGAGAAGAGATAGACTGACATAACTTCAGAGCTTAACATGGAGTGTTACATGGATGTGATCCATAATTTCTTCTCTGCTTGCCACATCACTCGATTCTCAGAGTATGATTTCCATCTGGCATTTTGCATTAGTGCCATGGTACAAATTATCTGTGCAATGAAATCTCTTATGTACCTGAATTTATTGGTAGGTCAAGGTATCCTTCTGGAAATAGGAGAATGAGCTAATTTCCTTGTTACTTTACAAGTGGCAGCATGCCTGGGTGGCTCAGTTGGTTAAGCGGCTGCCTTCGGCTCAAGTCATGATCCCGGAGTCCTGGGATTGAGCCCCATGTCGGGCTCCTTGCTCAGCAGGGATCCTGCTTCTCCCTCTGCCTGCCGCTCCCCCTGCTTGTGCTCTCTCTCTCTCTGATAAATAAATAAAATCTTTAAAAAACAAACAAAACTTTACAAGTGGCAGGTAATGAAAAGTGTTGCATCAATTACCTTACTTAAAATAAATTTCAGTGCACGTGAATAAAGATGCAGTTAGTGGTTGTCATTCAGCATGAGTGTAAGGTATACTGAGGTTTTTTTCCAACTCAAAGGCATGAAATGCATTTCATTCTGATTGATTTCATTTTTCTCCTTTTCCCCTCAGACCTGATGGTGGAGTTTATTGTAACACACATGATGAAGGAGTTTCCTATGGATCTGTATGTGTAAGTACCATGGTTCACTTAATGTGTGCAAATCTATTTTATAGAATTGAGTGATAGGAAATTTATAGTCAAAAAATTCTGTGTATACTTCAGGAAAAACTCATTTATGCATGGAGAAGTGTCAGGGAGCATTTTATGGCCTGGATTTATACATCTTTCCAGAAGGGGGGAAAAAATGTACAAACCACAGTTTGGATTCTGCACATATCTTCATTATCACTTTAGGCACACTACGTGAAGAACAGGGCTGATGCACTGAAGTAGTGATCATGGGTGGCTGTTGTAATCCAAAGATATGGAATACCAGCAAGCCACTTAGTTATGCCTGGGCTTTGGCATCAAAGTAGTTAGCAGTAGTTAGAAGGTAGGGAAAGGCCAGAGAAATACAGCTTCTGGTCTGTTGTTGGCCTACATTGTCTAGCAGCCTAGTTAAAACTATTCTAGCTAGGCAAATTATATTTATAGTGGCCTAGCTGGGAGATTCCTGCCTTCTGAGGAAATCAGATTGTTTATCGCAATTCTTTTTTTTTTTTTTTTTTTAAAGATTTTATTTATTCATGAGAGACAGAGAGAGAGAGAGAAGCAGAGGGAGAAGCAGGCTCTCAAGGAGCAGGGAGCCCGGTGCGGGACTCGATCCCAGGACTCTGGGATCATGACCTGAGCCGAAGGCAGACGCTTAACCGTCTGAGCCACCCAGGCGCCCCTGTTTATCGCAATTCTTTACAACCAACACAACTAGACGCAACTGAAAATCATCATATTTTAATAAAGTTTAAGTCTTCAGGCTTTCTCTCTCCTTTACTGTTTCTGCATTCTTCTTACCTTTAATGCCCAAGAACAGCTGTGGCACATTAGTGTGATCCCAAATATATATATTATCTTTTTTCCCTAAAAAGCATCTGAATTGAGTCTGACAGCAGAATTGCTACTTCCATTTTTTTCAGCAAGAGAGCAGTTTGGTGAATAGCAATGTCAGTGTGCCTCATTCCAGAGACAGGCCTGGGATCTAGGGAGGTATAAAAGATTTTACTCTGAATAGAGTAGACTTCCGGCTTTTTAGATTGCTTATAGGTCATGTCATATAGTCTTGGTTTCCTAGGTATGAAATAATGATACAAATTTTACTTTTAGTAAGTAAGTAGTTTGCATTTTTCTTTTTCTTTTTTTTTTTTTAAGATTTTATTAGAGAGGGAGAGCAAGCACGAGTGGTGGGGAAGGGCAGAGGGAGAGGTACAAGCAGACTCCCCACTGAGCAGGGAGCCCAATGCAAGGCTCGATCCCAGGACCCTGGGATCATGACCTGAGCCGAAGGCAGACGCTTCACCGACTGAGCCACCCAGGTGCCCTGCAGTTTGCATTTTTCTATTTGCATTTTCTTTTGGTGTTTAGAAGTAAGCCTGATTCTTTATTTTAATTCACACACCATGAAAGCTGCTTTTTTTATAACACTGATTAGGTAAGTTTTCATTTTGTTTTAGGTGTATCTCTGAACCTCAGCACCTTAGGAATCAGATTTGTTTTACTACAGACTTTATTTGTAGCTTGCTTATCTTATGTCCTGGTTTTAGGATATGCTATTTACCTGGTAGTATATTATTATAGTCTCAGTTTTCTCATTTTCCAAGTGAGGAAACTTAGACTCTAGAGGTTGAGTGTTTTGCCCAGGGTTATTCTGTTAGTAAGCACCATTGCCTGGACCTGAACTCAGCTTTTCTTACTGTAAATCCTAGGTTGTTGCCATCCCTTCTTCAGTGTATTAGTTATCTACTGCTGTGTACAAATGACCCCAAACTGAGTGGTTTAAAACAGATATTTGTTATCTCACTGTATCTGTGGTTGAGGAATCCAGAAGCAGTGTAACTGGGTAGTTTTGGCATAGGGTTTCTACAAGGCTGCAGTCAAAGTGTTAGCTGGGGGGCCCCTGAGGGGCTCAGTCGGTTGAATGTCCGACTCTTGTTTTCTGCTCAGGTCATGATCTCATGGGTTGTGAGATCGAGCCCCGTGTAGGGCTCTGCGCTTAGTGTGGAGTCTGCTTGGGATTCTTTCCCTCTTCTTCTCCCTCTCCCTTCCCCTCGCGTGCACACTCTATCTCTCAAATAAATAAATAAATCTTAAAAAAAAAAGTGTTAGCTGGGCCTGTAGGTATCTGAGGCTGTACTGGGGCTGGAGAATTTGCTTCCAAGCTTCACTTACGTGGTTGTTGGCAAACCTCAGTTCCTTGCCATGTGGACCTCTTCATAGGGCTGCTCACCACAGCTGGCCTCCTCCAAGTAATTCAAGAGAGAAAGAAGAGAGTGAGAGTCCAGGATGGAAGCCAGAGTGTCTTTTATAACTTAATCTCAAATGACATGCCATTTCTGGGCGCCTGGGTGGCTCAGTTGTTAAGCGTCTGCCTTCGGCTCAGGTCATGATCCTGGGGTCCCGGGATCGAGTCCCACATCGGGCTCCCTGCTTGGCGGGAGGCCTGCTTCTCCCTCTCCCACTCCCCCTGCTTGTGTTCCTGCTCTCGCTGTCTCTCTCTGTCAGATAAATAAAATCTTTAAAAAAAAAAAAAAGGGGCGCCTGGGTGGCTCAGTTGGTTGAGCGACTGCCTTCGGCTCAGGTCATGATTCTGGAGTCCTGGGATCGAGTCCCGCATCGGGCTCCCTGCTCGGCGGGGGGTCTGCTTCTCCCTCTGATCCCCTTCCCTCTCGTGCTCTCTGTCTCTCATTCTCTCTCTCTCAAATAAATAAATAAAATCTTTAAAAAAAAAAAAATGACATGCCATTTCTGTTGGTCATATAGACCAACCCTCATACAGTGTTGGTCTGTGATACATTTACATCCTTACAGAAGGATGTAAATGCCAGAAGGTGGGGACCACTGGGGGCCATCTTGCAGGCTGGCTACCACAGTGGCACACCAGACTCAAGTCTCTCTCACCCCAGAGGTTGTACTCTTAACTACTGCTGTGGTAAGTGACAAAAAGATTTGCACAGGGTGACAAATGCTGACTGGGGCATCAGAGAAGATAACAGAGAAGGTTGCATTTGACCTGAGTCATGAAGAAACAGTGGGAGTTTTCTATGTGGAAGAGTGGGGGAGGGACACACCAAGCAGGGGACCAGCATCTTCAGAGGCTTGGAGGCTTGAAAGTGTGGCAATATTTGGAAAGTAGAAAGTAATTCAGGATGATTAGAGTGTAGGGTACATGGAGGAAGCATAGGAGAGTAGAAAAACGGTTGCCTGAGATTAAGTGGCTGATGGGGAACAGTTGAAGGTGGGATGACATGGTAAGATTGTGCATTCAGCACGTAGAGTTACAGGTATGTGGCTGTCTACCCAGAACCTCACATCACAGCCAATGAACCTGGTCTACATAAATATTTTAACTCCCTCCTCCCCCCAGCTTCTACCTTTTGGGTATTGTCTTGCTTTCTCAGTTGCTTGTTCTACCTGCTCCCTAATTGAATGTCCTGAGGTTAGGGAAGATGGAGAAGATAATGAGGCATCAAACTGACAGAGGCTGGGCAGAAGGTCCCACCCTCAGGCTGAATACACTTTCTTCATTACTACCCGTGGGCATATATCCAGATGTCCCCACCTCCTCCTCCAACCCTCTTCCTGGTTTTTGGCATTTGGAGCGTCAAGTCCTTTTTAGGTGAACTTCTCTGCTCCCAGCTGGGCATCAGGCCAGGTTGCTGCTCTCACTTCTCATTATGTACTGCTTTTCAGCAGCATACTGCAGAATGAGAAATTGAAAGCAAAATGAATTCCTACCATTTCAGATAAGTTTATAATCCTCCTGGTGAAATATGAAGAACTAGGGAGTGTGGAAAGACTTAATACTCCAAACCAGAATCTGGGTCAGAAATGAAACAATTTCATATCTGTGTATGAATGCTGTAGGTAAAGTAATAAGGGGGGAAGGTGCTTAGACCAAAGAGAGAGAGAGAAAGGGAGAGAGAAGAAAAGTCTTGCCTGGAGCAGGAAGAGGTGGGGAAACTTAACCAGTTAATTTCACTCCTCACTGTATTCCTTGATTCTTGCTGCCACTCCCACTGCTGCCACAGGATTAAGGAGTGAGGAGAAATAGTCTCTGAGGAGAGTAAACTTTCCTTTAAGCTACTCTTACTTGGAAAACTTGTGCTCTTTCTCACTAAGAGATTCCCTCACCTGGGGGTAGGCACTGGAAGAAAGTAGAGACTTTAGTGGAGCCCACAAGAAGACTTCACGTTAAAGTGGACCCTGCCTCGTGCTGAAACAGGAAACCACTACATGCATAAAAAACACCCCAAAGAAGCAATAAATGTAGAGTAATTCAGCCAATCTATATTTTAAGGTTGTAGCAGTTGTTAAAATTTTCATTCTACTTGGTAAATAGTGTAAGTTATTGAGACCACCAGGCTGGTAATGTCACCTGTTGGGGGGCTGCAGAGGTAGGAACAGAGCTTAGGAGCAGTGTCAGGTGAATATCGATGGTCTTTGAACCAGAGGTTGGTGGCACCAGGCTTGGGAGCATAGGTAATGTCTCCCTCTGCCCCACAGCGGCTCGGTATTGGGATGGCATTATTGATAGGGCCAGCGTGCAGGCTGTCCAGATCCAGGCCATGTGAGAAGTGCTGGTGTGCAGAGTGTATTGTGCATGGGTGGTCACATACAGGCAGCATCCAGCCATCTTTGCTGGCTGCAACAAGGCGGTCAGCACCAGGTACCTAATGACTATCGGTTTAATAGGGAAGTTGACAGAAGAGTTTATATATTCCTAAGTTAAATCATGGCTTGAACCAGGGCATCTTTTTTTTTTTTTTTAAATTTTATTTATTTGACAGAGACACAGCGAGAGAGGGAACACAAGCAGTGGGAGTGGGAGTGGGAGAGGGAGAAGCAGGCTTCCCACCGAGCAGGGAGGCCGATGTGGGACTCGATCCCAGGACCCTGGGATCGTGACCTGAGCTGAAAGCAGACGCTTAACGACTGAGCCACCCAGGCGCCCCGAACCAGGGCATCTTGTAGCTAGT